CAATAGGTGACACAATCCACCTTCGAAAAGAAAATCGTCAAGGAGACTTCTGAACCGGGTTGTAGTTTTACTGCAGTGGACAAGCATCCTTGATCGCAAGGGGAAGGTTGATATCATTTACCTTGATTTCTCTAGAGCTTCTGATAGGGTCAACCATATATGTCTTATCAATATGCTCAAACTATTGGCTATCTGACCACCTCTAATTGATCGGCTATTTTCATATCTGGAAGATCGACACTTTAAGGTCAAGGTCAACTTCACTTTATCTCAGGCTATGGAATGTTCTAGTGGCGTCCTCCAGGGCTCAGTACTAGGCCCTCTTCTCTTCTTGATTTTTATAAATGATCTTCCACAACGGATGTCGTCAGACTTATTACTTTTTGCTGATGACGTGAAACTTTGGGGAGGATACGCAACCAAAAGGATATATAGGCAGTTCAGGAGGATCTGACTTGACTTCAAAGTTGGGCAGACGATAACGGACTTACCTTTAACACTTCAAAGTGTAAAGTAGTCCATCTGCGACATGTTGCAGACTACAGCTACAACTTAAAAAACCCCTTTCAAGTGGTATCCCGAGTCGAACAAAATTTAGTAGTCCTAATACCCTAGGATTTAAAGTCCTACGCTAACTGTGACAGAAATGCCTTTCGAGCAAACTTTGCACTGATAACATTGAGGCGCATTTTTGGCCAGTTTGACTGAAGAACTTTCCACATAATCCTCAACAGTTTTATTCGTCCACATTTAGAGTACGGAAAAATAGTATTTCCTCCCTCACTCCAAAAGGATAAGGACACTTTGGAGCGTATCCGACGACGAGACACGAAATCATTCCGGGGACTCAAATTCAAACCTTATGAAGAGCGGCTCCAATCACTCAACCTTTACCCATTAGAGTATAGGCGTCTTAGATGTGACTTTATAATGGCTTACAGTATCCTTAACACTTCTGGATATCCCCTTAAACACCTAATTTAGCTTAGTTCCAACACATACCTAAGGGGTAACACCCGGAATTCGGAGTTACAACAAATGCTGGGATTCACTGCCGACTGAACTAATCCAAGCGACTTCCCAGGAGTCCTTTAAGTGGAAACGTGACCTATTCATAAAGACTAAGGATAACATCTTATTATGATTTACCAATTTCTTTTTACCTCGATTATCGTTAATATGTAGTGGCATTGGACCATAACCACACAATCCTCAAAGCTGAACACGAGACAACTCGGAAAAGAGATATTCAATATTTAACGTGGAGAAATACCTAACGATGGAGAAGGCGGGAAGAATGTATTGAATGAATTGGAGTTGATCGAATGGCATGGCTCGGCCATGCATGCGTGGTCCCTCTGAATGTTCTCTTATATCTTATGTTCATATTAAATATATTGTTCCTTCTCTAGTTTAACCTTGTTCTACATCATGTATTGGTAATTGATACGATACAGTGAGTTGGTGTAGTTGATGGTGTGACTTCTACTTATACCGTGACAAATCTACGATTTTGCGATTAGGTCTATTATTAACGCAGTACTAATATCATAGTAGACCATGATTCTACAAATATACTTGGGCTCCTGCCTGGAGATATTGGTTATCCACTGCTACTAGACACGGAAGCCCGCTAAGCAGAAGCTTCTTCTATTCCGTTCACAACCGTGTGAACCAATCATTTGAAGAAGTAGATGTCTTCGTAGTGCAGTCAACCACAAGATGAGAGTAAGCATCCTTGTTTGATGCTGGCCCATACTTGAAATGCATGTCAGCTGTCCTTTATGCAGGACTTTGCAGTGCAGTTTGCTACAAAAATTCCGTAGGAGAGTGACACCACAGTGTCGAAAACAGTTCGAAGAGGTTCTTTTATCCATATTGTCGAACGCCTTCTCGTAGTCAAAGATTCAGCAAAGATCTGTTTAATACGTTTTATTGTACCTCTGTAGTTCTCACATTCGCTCACATCTCTTTTCTTTGGTATCTAAATGAGGCATCCTTCTTCACAGTCTGTCGGCATTTGCACATCTTCCTGAAACTCTCTGAAGAGAATCACTATGACGATGTCCTCTTGTCCTCCCACACTTGATGTGTCCAACGACCATGCTGATTTCTCCTGTTGTTGATGGACCGACATCTTACAGGATGTTTGTGTTCTGTGGGGTTGTTCTTTTCAGGAACTGCCCAAAATTTAACAACCTCTCATCCCGCTGTCCTAGATTCCAGTGAATGGATTGCGCTCTTTGTGTTTTGACTCCTCGCTCTGGTTTATTATGTTTTCCCGCTAGTTTCTCTGCTGTGTCATACAGTTGTCACGTATTTCCTTCTGTCGCAGCTTTTTCCTGTGTTATCGCTTGGTCTTCCACGTACTTCTGCCTGTCGCCTCATGTGCTCCTCTTCACTCGTTTGTTAGCTTTTGTGTATTTGACCTGAGCCCTGACTTCCTCTGCTCTTGCTCGACTGTTGTATATTTCTGTTTTCGTGTTGTTACATTCCTGAATCCTGTCCATGGTTTAAATAATAGGTTTTGCAAGGCTTGATACCTGTTGTTGAGAGCTATCTCGAATTTGTTGAGTTTGTCAGAATCTCTATGGAAAGCTGCAATGAAATCTTGTGATGCCGTTTCTCCAGTTGTCAAATGCTTTATCAGCTCTAGTCTCATCTTGAACACCACAGGGTGGTGAGCTGAAGCTATTTCAGCTCCTTTCTTTGTTATCCCGTCTCACATGGATCTTCCGAAAACTTTATTCACGCAAATTTGATCTATTGGATTCTCTGAAACATGGTCAGGTAAAACCCATGTTGCTCTGTGTATGATTTTGTGGAGGTAAGGTGTTGCCTATAACCGTTTTGTTGAATGAATATAGATATTCAGATCTCTTACCTTCTTCGTCTCTCTTCCAGTCCATGACGTTTCATCATACTCTATGCTCGGTGTTGTCCACTCAGACTTTGGTGTTAAGGTCTCCCATCAGGATGGTCAGGTCCTTTCTTGGGCACTTCGTTATGATCGATTGTAGTCTCTTGTAAAATTGATCATTATCGCCGTCGTTGCTATTATTGGTGGGTACTCAACACTGGATAACTTTCATTGTTTTGAAGTATGCTTTGATGATCCTGAATCCATGAGATTCCCATCCTATAAGTGCTTCACGTACAGTATCTGAGAAAATCGCTGCATTTGCGGAGCACTTTCTTCTTCATGACCAGAGTACAGTAGCATCTCTTCCGAATCTAACGTTTTCTGTCCAGCATAGGTTTAATGTAGTTCACTGATTCTGAGAACCGCCAAGTTGTATAGTAAGATATAACTTCAACACCCCTTTAATTCTTCACAATAATGTGCATATATAAAATGTAGATAAATATTTAAAGGTTGAGATCAACTAATCATGTATAGAGAAATAAGTGTGATATCCACTCATGATTTTATTGGTTTGTTACATGCAACTTTTCGCTCGCTCCCGTTATTGAAGTACGGTGTATCGATCTATTTGCAAATTACGAACCCAAATTAACAATAGAACTAAACTTCAATTTAGTTACCAAAGTTTGTTCTCAGTTTACAAAGAGTCGACCCAAAAGTCCTTCAATTTTGTAGGTTCCCGTAGCAAAAACTCCCAAATGCCAAACCAAAGACAAAAGAAACCAAAATGTCCGAAAATAGTAAACAAGCAAGTTCAGAAGTTGAGTAAAACAAATACATCCAAAAAAACAGTGAAATTATTAATATACAATATAAAGGTTTTAATCAGAAAAATGTCTCCAGTTCTCTCGTAACAGGTTTCCTCAGAATCTGTCATTCGCCTGGCATTGTTATTGTTATTTGTTTCAATCCACGGGTCTCCTTTAACTGTGCTGATGTAAAGCGAGCCGACCAAAATGTCAGCTTTGCGGTTACAGTATTCCAACTTCATTAATTAGGACACAGTACGAATCCTTGTTCACCTGCTACATCCCTTATGTCTACTGGCCCATTTAGATCAAACGCTCCTCAACATACCGACAATTTTCAAAATATATCTTTGTGTTCCTTTATTGCCTGCTTCTGATTTGACTGGGTTGTAGATCGCCAACGTAGATGATCTATGTCGTAATGATTGGAGGCCTACTAGAGTTAGACGTCAATGGTGTGACAAACCAGCTAACGTCGAAGTCACACCTCGTGATAAGAACCTTACGTGGACTACCCCATTGACGTATCAAGGTACTATAGATGCTTTAAAGACTATACAACACAGAGGACGTTATTACAGAAATACATATTAGTTAAAGTAGATACAAGCGAAAGACCACTGCCGCATGTGCCATTCCATGGCATATGATTAACTGGTGCGCGTTGGTTGTCCATGACCTTGACGAGGATAGGTGATTTGCTCGGTATTCAATGACCCAACTGCCGTATGATTTGGCTAGGGCTTAGTGACATTTCGCTGGCCCTACAGTGTTGAAACTCTTTGATTATAACGGTGTTAGAGACAAAAGCGTTATCAAACCCTGAATATCTGTGGCGGTTTTGCTTTCACTATGCTTGCAACAGATTTAGTAAACTATAAACATATTTCAAACCTTCTAAGGACTTTAATAACAACGGAAGTACCTAAATTCCACTGGAAAACCTATTCAGTTTATTTCTAACTGATTCGACATCGAACAAGTGTTGTTACATAGTCGAAGATATGACGAGAAATACTGGCAGATACTGCAATTGTATGGGATAACTTGTGTGCCATATTAAGAATATTTTCCTCAAATACCATTTCTAAACACTGGGATAACAGATTACATGGCAATATGTGATATTCTACCACATGAGAAAGGAGGATGAAAAACATATAAAGTGAGGGTCAGGGTTTGAAGTGTAGCCTACAGTGAAATTCATACGGTTATACCTAGCATCTATCCACCATTTGCACTTGAAATATTAGAAATTCCGGAGACGGTATTTCGATTGACTATTGAAAAAAGGGTGGATAATCTCAGTGCCTAATAATTAACCCGCCTAATCTAATTTGGGGCCTTATGGGGACGCGGGACAAAAGTCCCACCGGAAGTAGTTGTCTGGTTGGCAAAGTATTGATCGAAGATTTGCCCAAACGAGCTATTTCTCACAATGACATACGTGATTGGTTAAAAAAGTATGGATGCATTTCAGGTATGTGAATCCGATCTGAGTGATTTGGTATTCAGTCTAGTGATCTATATATATGTTTCTTGCGTTATATAGCTGTTCGACCAGTCGCTAACACTCTCAAACAAGGGCTAGATAGGTAGTCTGTAAGCTGTCATTCTTCGTAATTTCAGATACAGTGATTGCTAAATATGTTTGTGAGAGCATTAATTCCCATGTAACGAAGATAGACTTATGGAAGTGAAACACATTTTGTTGGTTAGATAGATTTAATTGGTAGTGTTCTATGGGCCAAATGTCGTGTAGTTCTTGGACGGATTCTGGGACATCAGCTTACATTCATTTTCACACGTATGTACTTCATATTTTATAGCTCAAATAAATTTCGACACAACGAGCAGAGCGTTTGCACTGTTTTACAATGCTTTTGACACTGGAAGATTCGAAGCTTATTTGCTTGACTTTCAACAAGCGATTAAGATGCATATATTTGATTGGTTCTAAGATATATCACTCCACACCTCCAACCATCTGTGGTTGTTGTGTGGCCTCCAATCAATCTACACATGCAGTTGTTCACACTAAGTTCAGTAGTTCCCTGGACTTATTCTACGTCTTAGTCCAGGCTCCTCTTTCTCTATCTTATTATGACAATCAGCATTACTTCATGAAGCCGGTGGTGGCTGGGTTAACGTAACATTTATTTATATATTTCGGTGAAACTCTATTTTATGGACGACCTTTGAACGTATTTTTAAGTGACCTTGAGAACATTATCCAATCAGAAGAGAGTTAGTGTGAAGCAAAAATATATTATTAAAAACTGATGAATTACAATGGATATCCTTTTTTTACATGATTTAAGAACTTGTTGAGGTTTGATAAAGGTTCAGAAGTTTTAAAATCATAGTGCATGCGGTATAAGAATTTGTCCACATGGCTTCATAATAATCGTCCTCTGGAGCCGTGGTAGGGTCTTAAAAAATACTTCAGCCTAGACCACGTGCCCTCAATTTGTTTGTATGGACCCCCGTCGTTAGATCAACAAAATGACGTTTGTGCACCACAACATGATGCACAAAACTAAGTTTTGAGAGGCATCTATACGCTTCCCAATCATCGGTATAGATCGTCGTGTCAGGCTGAACGTACTCCTTGATGATTGTTATGATTGTCGTTACCTGACGGTTCTTACTCTTTGAAAATGTCCTTTTTGAGTTGAACGATCGTATATTCACGGAAGTGCTACTTACCTAATCTTCTTTGATAAAACGTTCTTTATTGTATTTTCACTTTCTAACTAGCGCCTCATCTATTTCCACTATTTTTCCAACTCCTCCAAATGCTTCATGTATTCGTGTCATTTTCATTGCGCATATATCACGACAATATTCATACCACTGAACGGCGGAAGTTTCCGTAACATCTGCAATAGCCGCAGCTAATGTTACTAGAGACTTTATGATCCGATTTGCAACGATTGTCATGATTTGTCTTAGCCTTAGTCGTGACCGGGCAAAAAAAGTGCCAGTTCGAGCAGATTTTTTTCTCCAACATATAGTACAACGAAATACAATGTCATCGCGGTAGTCTGCACATCGTGCTGCGGTCATTTGATTGCCGCAGTCACAGACACAGGAACTTCTTAATAGTCCCACCTGCTGTAGTCTCTCAACGATCACCTCTTCTCTAAGATCTGCTGTAAAACGATCAATTGTGAGCATCTCGTATTGAAGTTAGCGCCGTGACCTTGAAACTCCTTAAACGCTTCTGATTAGCTCGTTCATAGATTAGAGTCCTACCTTTATTTCAACACATAGATATTGGTACAAAGAGGCACCAAATACATATGCGCCACACAAATCTCATTCGATATGTGTGAGGGCTGTGATACTGCACAGGTTCCCAAACCGGAACAGGTGGTTTTCTTAGGGGGCCACACGCCGAGCCTTCGACCTGAAGGTCTGACCCACAAGGCAGTAGAGCATCGTAAGGAGATGCAGTCCCATGGAAGCCGGTGACCAACAATTGGTTCATACGCCATTTGTCCCCGCAGGGTACTGGAGACCATGAGCACCATTGGTTTGGAATCCGGTAAAAGCGCCGGACATTCGCTTTTCGTCCTCTCAATTTCGTAAATAACACCCCCGCCACGAGAAGGCAGTGAGTAGGACTTCCCTGGCAGAGGCTGTATACGCGTGGCCATTTGAGAGCATTTCGAGAGGGAGAGAGGAGTCTCCCCACTCTCGGCCGTACCAGGGCATTTGGGGGCTTAACGTAACAAAGCCACCTCAATCGATTAAACTTCACCACCATACCTCTTATACCGGGTTATTTATACTATTATCATAAAACGGTCGTAAATAGGAATGTTTGTGTTAGTGATTGAATGTTTATGTTAAGGACCTAAATCATACAGTTCTATCAGTGTTAACCAATGCAACATCGCACTTGAAATAATTACTGGGGTAAAATGCAATTACTAGTTACTTCTGGTTCTGGCGTCATTATTACGACCATGGTCACAGTTTCACAATATCTTTATAATCTGCCAGTTTTAAACAATTTTAGTGAGCTACCATAAGTAACCGAGAGTTGTCTCGTATTATTTGACACGTAGATTCTGTCACGACTCCGGTTACTCCATTTATTTATTTATTTATTTTAACACATAGATATTGGTACAAGAAGGCACCAAATACATATGCGCCACACAAATCTTATTCGATATGTGCGAGGGCTGTGATACTGCCCGGGTGCCCAAACCGAAGCAGGTAGTTTTCTTAGGGGGCCACTCCCCGAGCCTTTGACCTAGAGGTCTGATCCACAAGGCAGTGGAGCATCGTAAGGAGATGCAGTCCCATGGTAGCCGGTGACCAACGATTGTTTCATACGCCATTTGTTCCCGCAGGATACTGGAGCCCATGTGCACCATCAGTTTGGGATCCGGTTAAAGCGCCGGACATTCGCTTTTCGTCCTCTCATTTTTGTAAATAACACCCCCGCCACGAGAAGGCAGTGGGTTACTCCATAAGGACCTGTTTATTCTAAGTGGTTTAGTAGCTGCTCCTGCTGGCGGGTTTTCCCTTCTTAACCGTACTTTTTCTTCCTGTCATAAGGATGCTCTATAAGCTTTTTTTATCATAATACTCGTTTTCGTGTTCCTGTCACACATCCGGCTGTACATTTTTGTTCTAGAAATCGTAATATATCCACGCTGCTTGCTTGTTCAGTTCGACTCGGATATCGAGGCCGCTGGTGCTGTTCAGTGCGAAAATGGGGCTTCACTCTTTGGCACTAAAGTCTCTCTAAAGCATGTGGAAGCCGGTGATTTAAAGGCGCTGCGTCGTGCAGGCCCACCGATTGATCGGTTTTCCACGAATTTGCAACGGAGTTTCGGATCCATCTCTAGTCGTGATCGTGACCGGGACAAAAGTCGTGGATCCTTGCGCCGTGACCGCTTCCGAGGTCGAACTAAGTCTCCGGACAACAAACGTTCACGTGAGATGTCACCGCGTCGACACTCAAGGTCACCAATGTAAGTTTTTCTGATGAGTTCTACTGTCTCCACATTTCCGTATGCAAGTAGTGATAGTATGTTGCTTATGCTATGTTCTCAAGGATCGTCATATTTTTGCTATCATACTAACAATGAGTTCTATCGAAGATTCTTCTGGAGATTTTTTATTGTTTCAATAATAGAAATATGTATTAAGTATGCTGTTTTGCAACGTGGTAGTTTTCCGTAGACTGAAGAGTATTTCTCATTGTTTTCTTGTCATATGAACATTTGGATTACTTTAAAATGTCGGAAACTGTTCGTGGACGTCAACAACTTCGTTTCAATTGGCCAGTAAATAAATATATTCTCACCTGTAATTCAGACGGAAAAACAATAACAGCTGGGAGAGAAATCGATTAGGATGCCCCATGATTTCAAAGAGGATGAGGTAGGTAAACAGGGCACTATCGAGAGCCGTTTGAGGAAGTTGTTAGTGAAGCTATTTCTAAGGGCAGTTGATATATCAGTAAATTTCGAGATAACTGTATTCTAAATAGAAGATAGATCTCAGATGCACAACACATAAAACTGACTCCCACACTTGGCTGTTCTGTGACTTCAAAATAGTATTTGATTCTGTCAGTAGAAAGGCCTTAAGACGTAAAGAATGAACAACTACTACGGTGTCCTCAGAATTCATAAGAAACTGTGATCGGAATTGATACAAACCTGTTCTAATCATCAGCGGCATTAACCTCTGCCAATCCTGTCCATCTTTGCCATGAATAATCTACTAAACGTAACTTTTCAAGAGTTGGTCACCAAATACTGGTAAGTTTTAGCAAATAAATTGAATGGTTTTCATGTGTTTGGGGTTTGAAAAATGCAAAATAATGTCACTTAACCGGTCTGTATTGAACCATAGTTCAACACGTTGAGGTAATGTGTTGTGTTATTCACATTATGGTCTCGTAGAGCTGCAAAGTTCTTCCCTTAAAGATATAGGAAAAGTTTGAGGATTGGCTACATGCCTTGTATCACTATACTGATATCCACGTGTGCTTCTGTATCCAGTACCGTGTATAGTTTGTTGTGATACACAGCTGCCAAGTCTGACCGTCAAATAGCAACAACAAAACCAATTGCATCAATATTTCAGTGATTCACTTCGTAGCGGAAATATAGAATAAATATATATTTTTTAAGAATTAGCTTGGGCCGTTGAAGAATACCCAATTGTTTTTAACTGGAGTAAGTACACCGAAGAGACTAAACCTAGCCTCAGGCTGCTAAGCTTCTAGCTGTACAATCTTCCTGAAGTTGTTTAGATGCTAGGCGGATGAATTTAAGACCTGGTCCAAATAACCATGTTCCTTGTCACTCAAAAAAATGTTGATAGGGGCAAACGAAAATAAATAAAGGTAATACTACTTACAGTTGTTAAAAGCTAAATATAAAAAGCTTAAAAAACGGAACTAGGGAAAGAAAAGTAATGAATAATCTCGTATCTAGAGATTGGTTAAAGGTGAACAATAAATGCGTAAGTTACTTTCTTCAGTATTAAGGTAGTGAGTTTTATAGTTTGTAATATTTGCTGGGGTTAAACTTATATTTTTATTTGCCAACTGTGTTGGTGTTCTGATTATTCCAATTACAGCATAACGCGTACTGATCGGCGTACAGTTCATCCACTAAACTGGCTATCAGAAGTTGCTGAACGAGACAAAAAGCTGTGAGATGTGTTTAATTGATCTTAATTTATCTACATTGTTGTTTTATCACCTCATTTATCTTATTCCACGAGTTCAGTGAAAAAGTTGTGTTGGGAAAGTGATGTTAGAACTTGGTATCTTGGCTTTATTATCGACAATCATTTAGATAAAAAAAATAAAACATTAGAACCAACAGAAAAAAACTTTTGGCCACAGGATACTCAATGTAGATCATACGCTAGAAGTGATAGTAGCAACGGAATTAATAAGAGCTAAAAAGAAAATAAAAACGAGAAATGAAAACTCCAAATAAATATTTTCAGAATTCATAAAAAAAATGTGACGTGAATATTTGTGCTCCACCGTAACTTCATCTCCAATAATCGTCCTCAAAACAATCAGGAAGTGTACGTCACTCCAATTATTAGTCAGTGACTTCGGGTTTATGTCTGATAACCATAAGTTCATCTTGTCATACCGAAGACTGCATCTTCCACTGACAGTTGGTTAGTACGTGCAACATCATGATATTCGAATTAGTAGGTGTTCACAACCTCATCGACTGATTTGCCTCCCTAACTTGTTCATGCCCAACATTGCTTATTCTATAATTTCGCACGTCTAATACCCACTTAGTTACAAAACGTTGACCACCATAAATAATAAGTAGACATGAATATTCGTATTCATTACAAAAACAGTTCGGGTAACTCATATTAATCCTTGCAGTTGTTTGCTATCCTAGCAGATCCAACATTGTTCCCAGAGTATCGACAGGCAATGCTGATACCACATGTCGTAGTAAAGATTTCGCGTTTCATTTATCAATATTAAGAATAAACATCCAGATGGAGAAACTTAGTTCATGGTTTTCGAATACTTTGGAATTTTCTCTCAAGTAATTATTTCTTTATGAAATGAACAAATTAGACTTAAAATCATCAGTCCGTATTGAATGATGTCTCAGTTTTTATTTTTGGAAATGAATTTTATTTAGGGATTTTATTTGTTAATTTACTTTTAGAAATGGATCCAGTCTTCTTGGTCCTGCCGATAAATCAACTGAAAAACCTATCGTTAAATCACCACCTTATATGGTGGCAATAATAACCGTCCAGCATGATCTTGTTCCATATGCTGAAATTATAGAACAACGTGTCACTAAAAGTCTAACTACACCAGGAAGTCCTTCTGTTACTCATATAGTAGTTCTACTGTCTGTAGATCATCTTAGCCCATGCCTAGCTGACCTTACCAAGGATGGTGTTCCGTTCGCGATCATTTGCACTATGACTAATTGGGCACACAACTCGTGCACATTACGCATTCTTTACGCTCCAACCCAACAAGGTAACTTACTAAGTATCTAGTTAGGATAAGTATGCATAGTTTTCTTACTATTCATGAATAAGAGGTTCAAAGGAACATCGGAGTATTGAATGACGTGACCACGTCTTATAATCACCATAATTGCTGCATTGGGATTTTTATCCTATTACCGTATGTTAGGTATCTATGCTTTTCCGGGAAAATTTCTGCGTTGTGAAATGCTCAGTATTACTTTTAGCTAGTTAGCATTTTTGGAAAGTCCCGTAAAGCAGCTCATTACATTCCTCCCTAATCTGATTGGACAAACATTTGGACTTTTACTAATATTATTATACCTCTCAGAAGCCTCTGAAAATTACCGGTTACTAATTACCCTTGTTTTTTGTAATTAAGTTGACCTTGAAAGTAAAGCTTCTTTCATACTTCCACCTTCTAGTTTTGTTTGAGGTTCAAGTGTCGAAGATTGTAAGTCTATAGGTCGTCCAGAAAGCTATTGTGTCAAAAGTTCAACGTACCGGACATATCAGTGTTGTGTTATTTCAAGTACATCATTTGTTGAACTCACTCTACTACTTATTCAGTCTGAGTTGTGTAGCTTTGATCATCAATATTTCCGATTTTAAAAGGTTAATCAATTTTCAACATCGCAAGTTCTCCCAAAAGTCATTTTGGTACTCAATGAAGATGAATATAATTAAACTAATTAAATAAGATTCATGCATATGCTCAGTCAGTTATTGACTTGTAGGAATAGTAAAGTTACTTTCATTTTAACTATTTGTGAGATGAAATACACCGGTAGAGTTCACTTTTGATTTATCGTCCAGAGCTCTTAAATGATAGTATACTGTTTCTTTTAAATGCATAAATAAGCTTAATTATGGCATATCCTACTTCGATACGTTATTTGATAATGAATGGTATGTCATCCCAATAATACTTATTCTTAGAACAATAATATTGCTGAGAAAAATCTGTGATTATTACTCATCTGTTTTCATTAGTCCTGGTGTTTTTCCATTTCTTTCTGGAGCAGAGCATCGTAATATGCCTTTGGATGATGCATTAATCCTACTTCATCGAGAATACTCTGCATATACGACAAGCAGTAAAGAAGAGGTTGATACTGCTCCTCCAGACGATGCCAATTTTTTGCCACCTAGTCGCCATTTAGCTTCCCTACTTCATATGCTGGCTGATTCTCGTGTTCTAAGTGTTGGAGAGTTAGACGAGATCACTGTTTTTGTCCAGGAGCGAAAGCGTCGTCTGGAAGGCCGACGAAATGCCAACAGTGATGGTACGTTTTGTAGTTGCTTCAAGAGTAATATTTGTTTATTAATACATTTTACATCAGTTTCTGAGGTTGTTGTTTTTTATGAATTCACCAGCAATATTTGAAGCTTACATAAATGGGGTTGATCTATTTACTGTGATTTACATTACATTCAGACACCTCCGTATTCCTAGATCATGTGTTTTTCTAGTTACATACTTCATTGGACCATTTACACAGTGACTATAGTAATATTGTGAATAAAAAGTTAATTGTCTACTACTCTATCCATGGTATTTATTGTAAACCAGCGGTCCTTATACTTAAGTGGTACATTTAATTACCTACTGCCTAAATTATTATATGTTGGTAAAGTCAAGACAAAACGCTATCTGTTACTTCATGTGCAAAGCCATCGACCAGTTGTCCTCAAATAACTGTCCTAAGCTCCCCTATCCAGCTTTTACCAGGTGATCTTAATTGTCTCGATGTTTGCTTCCAATTCCCGGCTCTATATGTTCTTCATTCTCCTTCCACTTTTTCTACATCACGATGCAGTTAGATGATACTGGAGTTGGATAGGACACAATTTGTAGGAACCAGCAGTTTGATGGTTTCCACAAATTGCTGATGGTATCCAGTCAGCGGATGCTGAGTATTTTGCATACAAAACTGTCTATAAATACCTGTAGCTTTTTAATGATGGTCATAGTAGTTCTCCAATTTCCAGCTGTATACGTCAGAGTTGTTTGAATGTCAATGTTGAAATTTTTGATTTTGGTGTCGGGTGGCAATTGTTGTGAGTTCCACATTTCAATCGTAGAAATGCTCTTCACTCGTTTGTTTGCTTCTGTATATTAAGACTGTGCCTTGGATTTCTCTGCTCTTGTTCGATCATTGTTGACTACTGTCTTGTTTTTTAATCATGCTCAGACTGTACACAGAAATTTGCTCTTCTGGCATTTCTTGGGCTCACTACCTGGTATGTTGAAGTTTTTTCTTCCCTAGTCCATTTCCAGTTGTTTTCTGGTGTGACTTCCTCTTCTCCTAGTGAACTTGTAAGGCTTAGAACTTATTGCTGATATCCTCATTGAACTCGCCTAACTTGTCATCTCGAAAAAACTGTGTACTAAACTCCGTAGTGATACTTGTCCAATTGTCCAGTGCTTCTTAAGTTTCAGTTTCAATCAAAATGGTCAGGTGTTTTTCTGGACATTTGTCTAGAATAGACTGACCTTTATCGCTTTTCGCTGTTACCAATGATTGGTACATAACACTAGATGACATTCACTGTGCTTCTTTGGACAGCATAAATGCAACTCCTTGTGTGTGTGGAATTTTCTACGTGACCAGAATACAATAACAGCTCTCTTAAAGTTGATCTTTTGTCCAGATTGTTTTCAATGAGTTCCACTTACTCCAAGCCGTTCAAGTTTATGTCTTTTCATTGTTGTGGCTGTATCAGTTAGCCTACCAGTCTTCCACATTGTCCGGTCATTCCATGTACCTACATTTATTACACTGGTTGTCCGAAGAGATAGTGGCGTTTTGGCTTCTGAAGGATCTTGGCTTTCACCACGATGCGTCATAACTTTTCAGTATGAAGATCTTTCAGCTGTCAGGGCAGAGGCCAAATGGTTCAAATGATTTTTTATTGGGTGACGTTGTCTTCGTAAATATTATTTTTACAATATGGGGTTGGTAACCCTACACCTAATTCTCCCATCTCACCCGGGCTTAAGACCGACAGTAAATCTGTAAGGGCTCCTGGCAGATTTAATATCCTACTCTCAACTGATAATAATTGTTATTATTTACGAAACTGAGTTTTATTTTCAGCAATGCAATTTTTTCTAAGGTTTATTCGTACAGTTTTCGTTAATATCACATTAACTTAATGACTTACTAGTCCTTGGTAATCCATTGCTGATTATTTGTGTGCATTTTATTTATATTTTTGATGGTAAATTTACGGGATCCGAAATGGTTGTTGATTGTAAACTTATATAGGAAATTTGGTAATTTACAAACTACTATTTCCCTTTTCATATATATTTAAAGTTATTGAGATGGTGAAGAAGATTTGTAGTTCAGGTGGATGATTTTGGTGGAGTTTTGTTCTCTGAGCTGGATGGTTTGGTCGTGGAGCTTTCATCGTTCTTCTGAACGACATCATCAGCACAAACTTCAGTTAGAAGTGAAGTGTTCGAATTTCTCCATATGTGTTTCACAGCTTGTTCTGTGCACCTCGATGTTGATTGGTTCTTATTGACCTTAAATTAGTCATTGTTTACTTCTTTGTTTTGGTTGTGTCTCCCATTGGTTTGATTTTTGTTCCTATATTTGTGCATGATTTTTCTGATTGCTTAGTAAATTGGATTGATTTCAATATGCACAAATATAGGAACAAAAATCAAACCAATGGGAGACACAACCAAAACAAAGAAGTAAACAATGACTAATTTAAGGTCAATAAGAACCAATCAACATCGAGGTGCACAGAACAAGCTGTGAAACACATATGGAGAAATTCGAACACTTCACTTCTAACTGAAGTTTGTGCTGATGATGTCGTTCAGAAGAACGATGAAAGCTCCACGACCAAACCATCCAGCTCAGAGAAAAAACTCCACCAAAATATTTAAAGCTATTCACAACAGAACAAATGAAAGTCTAAATCATTAGACAAGTTTTATAAAAATTATCTTGACATTGTAGTCACTATGATGTCTATGTCGATAGCCATATCACATTTACATTACGGTGATTCAGACAAGATCATTATTATTTGTTTTATTTAAACAATTGAAAATTGGTGGAGACGGGCGTCAAAATAAACATAGCCATTACTTATGCCTGTTACCCCTCGTGGAGGAGCATAGGCCGCCCACCAGGATTCTCCATTTCACTGAAACATACCCGTAAAAAAAGAAAATGAGATTGCGAGGAGGTGGAGGACGGAGGCTAAATATAATCTAAATACATAAGTGAACAAGAGCAGTATATAACAGAAAAAGGAGCTCAGTTAAGAAAAATGGAACCAGAAAGAATCCTTTCAGTCAAGGATGTTCTCTCTTCTAATAGTTAAAGAGCCTTACAACAAGATCGCCATTGGATTTTATTTTGAGCCATGTCTGATAATGTCTCAAGCCACTGAGTTACACCATCTATCGGACCCTAACCAGAGAGTCCTAATGGATCGACATATACCAGCCAATAGTTTGGACGTAATCGGAAGTAGAGTTTACCCCCAATAGTTGTTGCATAGATGACATAGACCCTTTCTAAAGATGACAACGACAATCGCGTCAAGATGATGGAATACATTGTTTCTCAAACAACCTAGTCAGTGCTCTGACCGGAAGGTTGCTACCATTGTTAGAAAGAGCTGGGGGTAAATCATGTGGACCTGATGACTTTTGGTGGTTCAGGATTTGAACTTTCTCGAGGGCCTCCACCTCGTCAGGTGGCTGAACCGGTACCGGCTAGAAAGGACAGAACTAATCCATAGGACGGCGCAGAAACGTCGGAAAACGCACTCCCGTGGTAGCCGGGAATCAAAGATATGTTTGTGGGTCTTTCATCTCCTCGCGATCTTGGAGCGTATGCGCACCATTGGTTCTAAACAATGGTTTGTCAACTCCCCTAGGTAAATCCTCTATATGTACCAACTAAGTTTGAACCGTGGATGTCCATTTTTCATCCTTTCACTTTCGTAAAAATACTTTCGTGGTGAATAGGACTTTCCTTTGGAGTGATTGTAACCTGAGTTCGTGCTTCTAAAAGTATATGCTTGTAGTGAATTTAAAAATTTGAAATGATAATCGTTAAACTTACAAATGTTTGTTTTTTTCGACTGTTCCCGAATTATCATCTCTTTTTTATGTTTATGAACAAGACTATGAATCTATTTATGCATTGGTCCTTTTGTGTTATGATAGACTGGCTGACGCTTAGGGATACATTCACTTTGTATGCTAGACTTCACGAGTTTCTTTAAATAACGTCTAATTCTTTTATTCTTCTGATACTATCCTTGTTATCACACCCATATATTTTATTGAGAGTATAACTAATATCTTTTTTCTCTCCTGGTTTTTTTCCTTTCTAATTGATTCACAATAAATGTATCGCGTGAATGTGGAATTCTTATATATCACGTCATTGTTCACGCTACTACTTTTAATCCAATTGGTCTTCATATCCTATTTTATAAACAAACAAATGAATGAATGATATACATTGACCACTAGCCGGTGCATGCAGTGAAAATACAGCTGAGCTCAAGTCAAGAATCTTAAGCATGCTTTATCCTCAGCCTGTTAGCTCTACTGTAACTACAAACACTGCTTCTTCCAATGTACCAGTTGACGCGGCTCATCAAACTCAAGATTTAACAGCTACTAGTATTGGAAGTAAATTAGCTGAAAACTTGACTAACCCTATTGTACAAAAAGCCATAGATACGTTAATGTCATATCCTTCAAACTCTGTGCCTCAAACTGCAACGCAAAAGTCGCTTAGCGCTATGGATACACAAAATATGCAATCTAAGAACTCTTTTCGCAACAATATAAAGCCTCATTCTTCTTTAGCGATTGCTGCATATTCACCCAGTTGCATGAAACAGCCTACCAGTTGGAGCTATGAAGATAATGGTTTTCGACCAAGTCGACCACTAATTTCCAATGACTTTAGTCAGCATATCCCTTATGGACAGCATACCAGACCTAGCATGATCCAGCAGCGTGAATATCCCAGTGACGAATCACGTAAGGGTCCTGGTTTCATAGAACATGGAGTTCAAAGAGGCGCTTATCACTCCGAATTTGAAGTAAATGAACCAGTTCTTGATTCAAATGAAGAGTTCACAGAAGAAAGTGCTTATCCAGGTTGGCCTAGGAGAAAACGAAAAAAACGAGGTTGTAAAGCTCCCTCAGGCGATTCATATCAATATCTTGACCCTAAGAGTTATGCACGTCAAAACGTTGACCAGCAATCTCAACAACCTGTAGATCTTATGTCTACGGAGGTTCATCCAGTCGGTACTGTAGCTGAAGCGTATAAATATTCTCAAGCTAACCCCCTCATATTCAATCCGGGAGTCCGTGGTAGATCTCAAAGAATAACCGGTGGGAGTTCATCTTATGACAATTACAATTATCAATCATTTGGACCGCATCAGCCGAATAATTTGAATCTTCATACCCAATCTTATGGTTATCCCAATCCATCTTCATTTTTTTAGCACTTTTACGAGTAAAATTTGTGTCCTGTAAGATTAGTTCAGTTTTTTCCAACATATTTACATTCGAACATATTTTGTTAAATGTTATTGTAATTAATTTTTTAAACAAAGCGTTCTGCTCATATTAACTTTGCTGGGAAAACGAAAAAAAGCAAAGAGGATACAAACAAACCTCTATAATTTCCTTTCTATTTAAAAATGGGTTGATTTTTTCAGTGTTTGTATTATTGTACCGCGTCATCCTGTGTTGTTTATTAGAATTCATCATTTGCAACATCTGGCTAAAATAACAACATAATTCGCTTTAAAACTTGTTCTTTCTTGTTAAAAAATATTTTGTGCTGGGGTATGCGATGTATTGGAATTCCTTTCACTCAATATTCTAGCCGTTACAGTTCAACTAGTTTGCTCTTAATTATATTATCAAGATTTTGCTGCTAATATTGACTCTGTTAGTTAATATAGCCGATCTCCCTTTTATTTCGTTCCCTGATTTGTAATAGTAAGCGTGGAGTATGCTTTTGTTCAAATTAGTCTATTGTTTACAGTACCAACCTTTGCTCTAATAATGCTTCCTACCGAATGCCGAACTTCTAATCATTCATTGAGTTCAATACTTTTCCGTAATGATGCAAATTCTTAATATTCGCTATCATCGAAATACGTACTGTCTACATATATCTTTAATTTCCTATTATAATAATCCCACACGTTGTGAAGACTTTTGAATACAACTGGTGTGACTCCATAGCTTTGATAAGTAGTGTTCTTCGAGCACACTTGAAACGAAGAAGGAAGCGTTATAGTCTAGTATCAGGTATCATCAGATGGTATTTAGCTAGGTCAAGTAAACAGTAAACCATCGATGATACTGTCGTTCCTATTTTATAGTGATTACACAATACTTCGCTTACAAGTATTTGATTCTATCTGCTCTTCGAAAATAAAACTATATGGAAGATAAAGTTATATAATGATTCTTTCTATTCACTTACTTAATAGTTCAGAGTGAACTGTCCTAAAATCGGTTTATAAATAATTTTAGGATCTTAAGCTATCCCAATTGTTTTCTTCATACTGCCTTTTGCTATTTTCGGTCTTTATAATTTTCCAGCTGGCAAATGAGTGTGAAAATTTACTATTTTGTAAATATCACCTTTTCACGTCTACCCTGAAGACAACTGTCTGGGTAATTTCCGCATATTTAGATAAGTAATAGCCGCCATGTACAAGTCATTAGTGGAATCAAGTGTTCTGCTCGATGAGTTAATATTATAATTATGGACTCGTAGTACTCTTTATTTGAGGACTTTATTTTTAAATGCACTCGTATAAATCCACTTCTGTCAATCTAATACTGAGATCAATAAAAACAAAATTCGATCCTGTTTTTTGTTTCATTAAATTTGTTAATTGTTGAAAGTATCTTAAGGCAATATGAGTGCTTGTAAACTCAATTTTCTGTCACTAAGAAAAAGAACGTAAAAATAAATAACTTAAATTCATTTCCATGTATCACATACGACAGTCCATAAACTAATTTTGTGATACGATGATCTTCAAACCACAAAAATAAGTCAACACAAGTTTCACTGTCATGATGTTGTTCTGACTCACCTCAAGTGAGTTTTATTCTTTGTTGATGTTAAGATTCTATACAATAAAATCTTCCATTCGAATCTTCTACTCCTTTTCTTTCAAATTAATTAAAATTGATTACAATAGCCACATAAATCATTACTTACAAACTTTAACTGAGTTCCATGCTTATCTGAGAATGTTGAAATTAGCAGTAACTAAGCTAATTCATATATCTTGAAGTTACTTAATAACATCAAACTTACTTGCTACAGTTTCTTCATCAACCACACCGTTTTATTATTCGAATATAAACGGGCATTAAATGTTATGTCTTATTGTCAACAAAAAAAATACATACAATGTATGAAAGTTGTGATTTTTTATTTTCTTAAGAGAATAGTTCTTACTTACTTACTTACTTACGCCTGTTACTCCCAATGGAGCATAGGCCGCTGACCAGCATTCTCCAACCCACTCTGTCCTGGGCCTTCTTTTCTAGTTCCATCCAATTCTTGTTCATTTTTCTCATGTCTATCTCCAGTTCTCGGCGTAATGTGTTCTTTGGTCTTCCTCTTTTCCGTTGACCTTCAGGATTTCATGTGAGGGCTTGTCTTGTGACGCAGTTCGGTGCTTTCCTCAATGTGTGTCCTATCCACTTCCAGCGCTTCTTCCTGATTTCTTCCTCCACTGGGATCTGGTTTGTTCTCTCCCACAGTACGTTGTTGCTAATAGTGTCCGGCCAATGGATCTGAAGTATTTTGCGTAGACAACTGTTAATAAACACCTGTATTTTCTGGATGATGGCTTTTGTAGTTCTCCAGGTTTCTGCCCCATACAGTAGAACTGTCTTGACATTTGTATTGAAAATCCTGACCTTGGTGTTGGTTGACAGTTGCTTTGAGCTCCAGATGTTCTTCAGTTGTAAATATGCTGCTCTTGCTTTGCCGATCCGCGCCTTCACATCTGCATCAGATCCACCCTGTTCATCAATGATGCTGCCCAAATATGTAAAGGTTTTTACATCTTCCAAATCTTCTCTGTCAATTGTGATTGGATTGGTGCATGCTGTGTTGTATCGGAGAATCCTGCTTTTCCCTTTGTGTATGTTGAGACCTATTGCTGCTGAGGCTGCTGCCACGCTGTTTGTCTTCTCCTGCATCTGTTGTTGCGTGTGGGATAGAAGGGCCAGATCGTCTGCGAAGTCTAGATCATCCAACTGCATCTTAGATGTCCATTGTATCCCGCGCTTTCCTTCAGACGTTGACGTCTTCATGATCCAGTCGATCACCAGGAGAAAGAGAAACGGTGAGAGTAAGCAACCTTGCCTAACACCGGTCTTCACTTCGAACGACTTTGTCAACTGTCCTCCATGCACAATTTTGCAGTGTAATCCATCATATGAGTTCTGTATGATATTGACTATCTTCTGAGGCACGCCGTAGTGTCGAAGAAGTTTCCATAGTGTTGTTCTGTCCACGCTGTCAAATGCCTTTTCGTAGTCAATGAAGTTGATGTAGAGTGATGAATTCCATTCAATTGATTGTTCCACAATGATCCGTAGAGTTGCGATTTGGTCTGTACACGATCTATCCTTACGGAATCCTGCCTGTTGGTCTCGAAGTTGGGCGTCTACGCAGTCCTTCATCCTGTTTAACAATACCCTGTTGAAGACTTTTCCCGGTATTGAGAGAAGAGTGATGCCTCTGTAGTTATCACACTTGCTGAGATCGCCTTTCTTCGGTATTTTGATCAGAAGTCCTTCTTTCCAGTCTGTTGGTACTTGTTCCTCATCCCAAATCTTATTGAAAGTTGTGATTTTTTATTTTCTTAAGAGAATAGTTCTAGGTGTCCTCATAAAGACAGATTTTTTCAAACGATCAGAATATTTGAAGCTTTGCAAATGTTCATTATAAGTTTAGAATAACTGCTAGATTCTACTTATGCAAACTAAGCTGAGGAATCATCCTATTTCCCACTAAATTACTCTTCACATTATCTCAACTATATACCAATAAATGGTAATATAAGTATAATTGTTTTGTTGTGCGATACTCTTACTACAAATGATCTAATTCAGTCTCTTTGTATCTGTTATTTGTCAGAAAATTAAGACGTCAAGCTTTCTCTCATGTAAACTTCAAAAAATCAATTTTACAGTAATCGAATCAAACCAACTTCTGTTTTCTCCATGTCTCATTAAACGGTTTCGGCCTTACATTCGAATAGGCTGTTAGCCGTATAATAGATATGGAATTCTGGTGCGTCTTTGTTTTTTATCAAACTTACCTTTGTTAATTCTGTAGTTAGTACTCTGCTAGCTAAGATCGACATTGGACGTTGTAGCCCTCTAAAAAGTTAACGATAATTGTTCGTTAAAGATAGCCAATCATTTCCACTATATCTCTCTATTAGTTGATAATATTCGCTGAGTCTATAAACTTTGTTATGGAAGAATACTGCGCTTTGTGGCAAAGAAACGGTAGATTGTGCGAATGAATTTAATTGACTACTTCATGAATTAACTATTGGCAAACAATATTTGTTGACAAGTTTTATCCAAATTAAATTTAATTTGGATAAAACTTGTCAACAAATATTGTTTGCCAATAGTGTGGACCTATATCATCGCTTAAAATTTTATTTGGTAGAGTAAACTTGTGGAACATAGATGATTATCTGAATTCAGTTGGTCTAGTACCACAACCTTCATAGTCTCAAACTGTGAAATCGGTCAGTGATTCACTGTTGTGAGTGATGATAATCACAGCCAGCAGTTGTTTTCCGGTCAACATTTGATAAAAAACCTTTAGAAATAACTCAAAGTTTCTATCATTTTACTTGTCTTAGTTTAAAATATAACTTTTGAGAAATTTTTTGGAAACGGAACTAATGCTCCTGCTGAAAGTCAGGGTATTTTAATTTCAATTATACTGTATTCAGTTTAATGGCTAATAAAATCCATTATTTTGAATATAGTTGTTGCCAATATCTGATGTCATGTAGATAGCCACTAAAAAGTATTCTGCAGTTTTTTTGTTCTAGTTTGAATTCCTCGCAAGGGTCGTCCTTGAGTTCAAAGTTGAACACATTTTTAAACCATTGGGTTGGAATCCATTGTTTTGACGTAAGTTCTTTGTTAATATAGTATGACAGCAATTCATTACCATATGTGAGTGGCCACCTTCAAGGTAAATTAGTTTCCACCAATTATGTAGTCAAAGATTGTCTTATGCGTAGAGATTAATTTGTTTAGTAAGTCATTTTACCGTCTAAGCAATAAGACTCACCAAGTTTGTTTAAATGAGGTCGCATAGTTTGTTAATTAGGCACTTACGATTAGTGATCAAAACTAGGAATTCATGTTGTTTTACTCCATGAAGCAGTATACTCACCTTAGCAAGTTTTAATTCAAGTTTTGTGTCGTGGTAATCAAGCGGAACTTACTTGTCACCGAGGCTGGTAAGCTGTATTCCATCCACGAATAGTACATACACTATTTGGAGGATGTATTTTACCGAATGAATATTTAACTGGGGCTCTACACACATTACTGACTTAAATCAGTTTTATGCGTAATGCAATAATTAGAAATCAATCAGATTGTCAAATGAAAACCATAACTATTAAATTAATAGATATCTACCAACTGAAAGATTTTGTAACATGTTTTCGCCAGTCGTGCCATATCGATCTTGAAACTTCTTACAAGGAAGTAATACTACAAG